GCTCGAGCAGCGCTGGCTCGCCAACGTCGGGACTCGCCGCAAACGCGAGCGCGCGGGGCACGCGCTTGAGGCACTTGCGGCAGGGCGGCGCGCATGCAAAGGCGTGGCAGAACTCGCGGTCGATGAGCGCAGTAACCAGCGCTTGGAGCGTTGCAATCTGCAGGTACGCGCCGGCGCGCCAGAGCGAGAAGGCGGTGGCGAGATCAAAGGTGCGATTCGAGAAGAAGAGCGTGCCCGTGTAGAGGAAGCCGAGCGTAAAATGCAGCGACGCGGGAGTAAAGGGCGGCGAAGGCAAACGCAGCACCTGCGACCCGGCATCTGCGTACGACGAAAGCAGCATCGAGGCAAAGTACTCGGATCGCGACGCGAGGATCATGCGGTGCGTCGAGAACAATGTAAGCTCGTCGTCGTCGTCCGATTCGTCGATGCGGTCGGTATCCACGGTCTGTGCGAGCGAGAGCACCGACATGTTGGCGTCCGGAATGTCGGCCAGCCTCGACGCACGCCGACGCTTGTCGCCAGCCATGCTGGCATCGTCTGCATTGCGCGCATCATCGTCGTCGCCAAGCACGATCTTGACGTCCGAATAGAGCTTGCTGCGCCACATGTACGTGAGGTCGGAGCGCAGCTTGTCGAGCTTCTCCTCCGGCGCGGCTTGCGAGTCGGGCGCCAGGCGGTCTTCAAAGAGGAACTCGAACGCATCTACCATGGCTTCCTCGCCTGTGTAGAGGTACTGGAGCGTTGCATCGAAGAAGGCGTGGCTGACGCCGCCCAAGCTGATGGGCGCGCGGAGCGTGCTGGCGTCGCTGACCACCGACGCATTGTCGGCGGTGAGGTGGGAGTCAGCGGCTGAAGTCACGGAAGCAAAGGATGATTTGCGTGCCGGCGCGGCGGACGAGGCCTGCGAGAGCTTGGAGGGTGATGTGAGCGAGGCGGAAGCGACTGGCGTGGAAGTGGGGCGGGTGTTGATGAAGCGAGAGGATCGAAGGCTGCTAGGCAATGCACCCTCACCTTCGCTGTCGCTGGTGGCGAATCCGGAGGCGATGGAGGCAGCGTCGTCACCTGCAGCCCTGCGGAGCGGTCTGGAGATGCTGGACCGCGAGATGGGCTTGCGCAGCGAAGGCTTGGTCATGGAGAAGCTGCTTGGAGGTGCAGCGCCACGGATCGACTTGCGAGGTTTGGGCGGCATGCCAGCACGGCTGACGGACGTGCTCGTTTTGGATGCTTGGGGTGCAGGATTCGACGGCGTGAACGCCGTCTGTGTGGAGTTGGACATATGGGAAGCGAGCGAGAGTTGGGACGTGCTGCGATGCAGCGGAAGCGAGACTAGGCTGGCGGTGGACCCGATATGTTGGAGCTGGGCGGCAGGAGAGCGCAGGTTGAGGAAGCGGGTCTGGAAGGTGTTGGGAGCTCGGGCATAGAGGATAGCCTTGTGCGCCCAGATGAGGGTGCCTGTCGGAGCGGGGCGGACGGCTGGCCCAAGTGATGTCGATGGCTGCGAGATTGGCGGAGCAGCTTGCGACCATGCAGCTGGCGCATCGGCAGCGTGGTTGAGCGAATGGCCCACGTCCGAGTCGAGATCCGAATGATCAGGATGGGTGGCAGCGGGAGCTGTAGTCCAGCAGATGTCCGCAAAGCGATCCTCTGCTCGTTCGAGCAGCCTGCGCAGGTCGGCTCTCCAGACGCGCGTTGCTTCCTCCTGAGCCGCACGAACTGGATCGTCGTGACGGGGGCGATGGAAAGCCGGGACCGTGGCCATCCTGGAGGGGCCTGCAGCAGCGCTCGACGAGCTCGTCGACGCGCGATTTGCATCGCTCGATGGCCGCACCGCGCCCGGAAACGCAGTCGGTCCACTGGCCGAAGGGGCCTGGGAGGTGCGCGCCCTCGGCAGACGACGGTCGGCGGATGCCAACGGCGCCGATGTCATGGCGCACGATCCAGCCTGTTGGGCGCCAGAATGGTGTTGACGGATGCGCGTGCGGCTGCTGGGTGGCGTGGTCGATGTTTGTATTTGGGTATCGCGCTCATCAAGGGCCGAGTGGGTATGCCGAGGGTATATGTGTAGAGCAAGATGCGGTAGAGTGGAAAGGCAAGAGTGTTTCGGCGGTCCGAGCCTTGCCCAAAAGTGCACCCCGGGCGCATGGCAAGGTGCAGAGCTGCAGGATGCGTGCGTGTGTTGGTCTCTGAGCGCGAATGAATTTGCCAATCTCACACGCTGCCGCTCCAACAGCCCTTGGTCTTCCTTGCGGCTTCAGCTCCTAGCTCACCCGATTCTTTCGGAGTTGCACAACGGAGACTTGCGATCTGGCTCTACAACGAACAACATACGGCCACAATGGCTCACGCCTCGCCTGTGGGAGGTAATTGCATTCGGGCATGCTCTACTGCACATTGCTTTGGATCGCACTTGCCGCCTGCCAAGTCATGCCTCCGTGACCGTTAGGAGACGGCAAGGCGCTTCCTGCGCAGTTCAACGAGCGCGCTTCTGCCGACGATGATGGTGACGAGGCCGGCGCCAAGCAGCAGCGGCAGCATCTGGAAGAGCGTCATGCCGATCCAGTACTTGACCGCCAGGCCCTCGAGGCCGACGAGCGCGCCGAACAACACGAGCGCCTTGGTCGAGGGCGACTGGATCTCGGGCTTGATGATGGCGAGCGCCGCGGCGAAGAACACCCACGGCACCACCGCCGTTACCACCGACGCGAGGCCGCTCACCTTGGTGCTCGGCATGGTCTCGGTGGGCGGCACGCCGAACGTGTGCCTGTGCTCAGGGATGCCGTGGAAGCCCTGTTCGATCTCTGCCTTCTGGCGCGGCGTCAGCGATGCAGCCGACGATGCCAGCGCCGCTTCCACCAGGCTCGTCGGTGGACGCAGCGAGACGAGCGGAAGTGCCAGCGGAGAGTATGTGCCGTCCGATCCGGAGTTGGAGGCAAAGTTGGCGATGAGCAGCGACAGCGTCAGCGGCGAAGCGGTGCGCAGAAGCGGTGCTGGGATCCGGTCCATCCTCTGTTCATCCAACAGCGACAAGCATCAGCCTTCTGTACCCCACACTATCCGCATCAAGACAAAATCGCCACTTACCAGATTCCACGAAACCCTGCCAGTGCTTGGCTTGACCGTGAGGGGCCAGGCGTGCGAGGCAGGTTCAGCATCGTTGCTGTCGGCTGCAAGCACCACGAACGCCTGGTGCGGCACATGCTCCTTGCCTAGAGCCGCGCCATCCTTGTTGGCTGCGCTCTTGGACCCTTCGACGCCGAGGTTGAAGGTGAGTCGGATCACGTCGTCGTTCTCCAGCAGGGTGGGCGAGTCGAGCGCAAAGGGCGCCACATTCTTGGCGTAGTCGGCGTGCGTGGAGAACTCCTTGGAGAGGCGCGACGAGCCATCGACCGTCGAGAGCGCGAGCTTGGCCGACTTGAGCACGTAGCTCAGCTTGGGCTCGGCCAAAGCGGCGCTTGCCTGTGCCACCAGTTGTGCCACCAGCAGCAACGACAGCAGCACGGCCGAGACGAGCCACGATATTGTGTGTGTCCTGCGCAGCATCCTGAGTGCCTTCCTGTGCGGTCGCGATGATGAGTGACAGTAAGGACGCAAGCCGAGGGTTGGTGATGGCGCGTGCACCGACCATCCGACTCGCCGCTGCCTCTGAGCCTCGTTGAGCCGCGCGCCTCGAGGAGTGCCAGGGTGGAAGGCCAGTTCTTCTGGGAATGTGTCTCCAGCCGTGCGAGTGGTGTGGCCCCCATCTCCCGATTTGCACGTTAGCGAAATTTCGATCTGTCGATTCGAGTAGCGGTTGCTGCGGCAAGTTCGAAATGATTGGCCAGCGAGCGACTGGAAATGTGCCTGGCTGTTGGCGAGGGTGCGGCTCCGAGGCGCGTTGGCTGCGAGCGCTGCGAATTTTGCGCTCGCCGCTGCGCCAATCACCTTTCTTCCCTTCCTCATACTACTCTTTCTAGTATACCTTGGTCACCGCTGGTATCATCTTTTCCACACACTCTCAACCCACCCCATCTACACTATTCCAAGATGAGCTACGTCGCCAAGGACAAGGATGTCGATGCTTCGGCCCCTGCTGCCAAGATCCACAAGATCCGCATCACCCTCACCTCGCGCAACGTCAAGAACCTCGAGAAGGGTAAGCATTCATCCTTCGCTTTTGCCAGATAGGATCCGTTCAGCATGTTGATCAGCTTGTTTTTGTTCTGTTCTAGTCTGCACTGACCTTGTGAACCGCTCCAAGGACAAGCAGCTGCGCGTCAAGGGCCCCGTTCGTCTGCCCACCAAGGTCCTCTCGCACACCACGCGCAAGTCGCCCTGCGGTGAGGGTTCCAAGACCTGGGACCACTTTGAGATGCGCATCCACAAGCGTCTCATCGACCTCCACTCGCCCTCGGAGATCGTCAAGCAGATCACCTCCATCTCGCTCGAGCCCGGTGTCGAGGTCGAGGTCACCATCCTCTCGTCCAACTAAGCTGCCACTCTGGCAGTGCTAGCTGATCACAGGATGCACAGGCGGTCCCTTGCGCGTGAGGTTTCTTCAAAGAACGCGTCGAGCAAGCACCTCGCTCCGCGTTCTCTCTCTTTTCAAAAGGAGGTTGCACTGCAAGCCTGCACGGATACGTCTTCATTGTGCGTCGTCCTTCTGCTCGCTCACGATGCGCCCCCATTGGCCCAAGCTTGGGTCTCACGAAATGTCACGACACTCCTTTTCATCCTCCCTCCTTTCTCCCGACTGTGTGTGTGTCCGTGGCAGCAAAAGTCAGATTGGCAGTGAGGACTTTGCATGGTGTCGAGTCGCGGGTGGGGCTATTTTTTCTTCTTGTTCTTCTTCTTCTTGTTCTTCTTTGCCGGGCTGTTGGCGGGGTTGGGTGTGGAAGGCGTGGCGGGCGTGGTTGGGGTATTGGCACCACTATCTCCCTCGTCGTCTTCATCCCGGGCTTCGTCCTGAACATCGCTGCCTCCAGCCTCCACTCCCGCGGCTGCCGCGGCTTCGACCCTTTCATCCGGCTTGGGCTCTTCGTCTTGTGTGGTCTGAGACGCCTCTTCTGGAGCCACATCGTGCGGAGATGATCCTATCTCGTCGGCTTGTCTCGCTTGCTCGGGTGATGTTTCGATACGGGAAGTTGACGTAGCAGCAGCAGCAGCGGCGGCGGCACGATCGCGCTCCTCCTTGCGTTGACGCAGCTTCTCGGCCAAGCTGAACTTCTTTGTCGGTGCTGCTTCGGCTGGCTTCGCGGGAGCCGCTGTATCGGATCCGCCTGGTGTCTGCGCTTGTACTGCGCCGGCGTCGGTGTCGTCTTGCGTTGAGTCTTCAGTCCCGCCGACCTCTTGCTGCGCTGCGACTCGTGCGCGCTCCGCTGCCGCTTCCTCTTCAGCCTTGGCTCGGGCAGCAGCTTCCGCTTCAGCAGCTGCCCTTTCGGATTCGACCCTTGCCGACTCGGCTTCAGCTTCAGCTTCAGCTTTGGCCTTGGCTGCTGCTTCCTCTTCAGCTTTCGCTTTCGCCGCTGCCTCCTCTTCAGCTTTCGCCTTTGCTTCCGCCTCCGCTTTGGCTTTGGCTGCGGCCTCTTCTTCTCTCGAGATCCTTGCCTTTTCAGCTTCAGCCTCAGCTTCGGCCTTGGCTCTCGCTTCGGCTTCTAGCTTAGCCTTTGCTTTAGCTTCAGCTTTTGCCTCCGCTGCTGCCGCTGCTTCTGCCTCGGCCTTCGCTCTTGCCTCTTCTTCCGCCTTTGCCTTTGCCTCAGCCTCTGCCTTTGCTCTTGCTTCGGTTTGTGCTTTGGCTTTGGCTTTGGCTTCGGCCTCTGCTTTCGCCCTTGCTTCAGCCTCTGCCTTCGCCTTTGCCTCGGCCTCTGCTTTCGCCCTTGCTTCAGCCTCTGCCTTCGCCTTTGCCTCGGCCTCTGCTTTCGCCCTTGCTTCAGCCTCTGCCTTCGCCTTTGCCTCGGCCTCTGCTTTCGCCCTTGCTTCAGCTTCCGCCTTTGCTTCCGCTTCCGCCTTTGCTTCCGCTTCCGCCTTGGCTTCGGCTTCCACTTTGGCTCTTGCTTCGGCTTCGGCCTTTTTCCTCGCCTCGGCTTCCGCTTGCTCGACTGCGCTCTTCCTGGCTTTTGCGTCTTTCTTCCTCTTCATGTCGTCCTCGATGATGCGGGCCTCTGTGGATTGGATCCAGTCGTGTGCTTTTGTCCAAGCCGCGTTCATCTCGAGCTGCTCGAAACGCGCTTGAAGCTGGCTGTCGTCGTCCGAGAAGCAAGACTGGACGACGTGGAGCACCCACTGCACGACAGAGGCGTTCCATATCCTCAGCGCCTTCGTCAGGATGGCGCTCTCCCGATCCCCAACCAGTGCCTTTTCGAAGTCCAACTTTGCCTCTGGATCGAGGTGCTCCAAGAACGACTTTGCGTCGTCATCAGCAAGTAGCCTGGTGATGTGTGTTGCATCGCCGCGCGACGTGGTGATGGCTTGAGGGATGTCGGCAAGGATCCGTTCAGTGACGCGCGAAAAGTGGGCGTCGAGACGCTGCAACAGCGGCGTTGCGAGCGAGACAGGCGCAAAGATCTGCAGCGCATTGATCCACTCCATGAGTCGATTGAGCAGCTTGGCAAACGGCGGATAGTCAACCAGCTCAATGTTGGGTCGTGCAAAGTCGTCGTACCCCGAAGGAGCGGTACCACTTGTCGAGACGGTGAAAAGCTCCTGTAGGGCGGTAGAGGAAAGCTGGGATGAAAGCAGCCACTGCGATGGTAACGATGCATCGATGCCACTGGTGTGCTGATCCAGCTGCTCGTGGATGTACGAAAAGGCTTGGTCGAGAGAGCTCGAGAGCAAATCTAACCAAATCGCTTCCATCGAACTCAGGCCCTGAGCAGTCGAATCGACGGGCGAGAAGAGGAGCTCGCCAAAGTCGAGTCCGAATCGCGCGAGTGCCGCCGAGGCATAGCTGAGCTGCGTGTGCACGTTGCTGCACATCTCTGCAAATGCCTCGAGCGACGCACTCGACTCGCCCTGCACCGACGCAGACGCAGAGAGCCGCTGGGCAGCTGCCTTCAAGTGAGTCGAGACGGTACGTCGCAGCAAATCGAGACCCGAGGTAGCGAACGATGCGAGCAGATAGGCGGGCGAGATCATGTCATCCTGATCAGCATGTTCGTTGCTATGCTGGGCAGCAGTCGGGTCGTCGACGAAAAGAGGGAATGCCATGCCGAGCGTGTCGGCCATCTCTTGACGCCAGAGGTCAATGTACCTGCGCAGGTAGGCGTGACTGTTGACGGTCGATGGCGAGCCCATGGCGTTGAGCGAGGCGCGAAACGAGTTGATCCTGGCCTTGAGAAACACGAGGCAGAGCTGGTTCTCGGTGATGTCGAGTTGCGGAATGAGGCTGGGGAAGCGTTCCGATGCTCTGATACTGGTCCAATCAGGAATGCGTGCGAGTGACGACTGGATGTGGCTGAGCCTACGAAGCACGGTGACGGACTTGCGGACGGCAGGAAGCTTGATGCCAGGTTTGGAAAAGCCAGCGAGGAGGTCGGCCTTCATAGCGGCGAGATGGGCGAGCGTCTCGATGAGGAGCGAGAGGTAGGTGCTACGCTGGCCGTGCTGTATGGCTTGCGAATCGGAAGATGGGGTTGCGGGAGCGTCGAGAAGGCCGATGAGATGCTCGGTGAGCTGGATGGCCTCGGAATGGTGGCCTGCCTTGACGCACGTGTGCACGAGCGGAGGAATGTCGAGCAGGTCGGAGAGATGACCGCGCTCGTACTGGTCAGCGACATTCTGGATGTGCTTCTTTTGATCCAGGGCCGGTTGACTCTGTGCGAGGAAAGCATCGGCAGCGGCCTGCAGGTCGGGTATCGACGTCTGAATGAGATCGGAAAGGTTGGAGGCGAGAGAGTCCAAGGCCGGGCCGAAGCGCTGTTCTGCGTGATGGATGTGGATGAAGGCATCGGTCTGGGAGATGCAGAGCTCCGAGAGCTGGACGTGGAGCGCATCGGACTTGGCATGCAGCTGTTGCGGCTGGTTGCGAAGGTCGGAGAGGCTGAGGTTGGAGAGCGAGCGGATGTAGGATGCGACTTCTTTGGTAGCGAGTGCGTCGGTCGAGATGGGCAACTTTGTCTGCTCGGCCGCCTCGTGGATGAGCTGAGTGAGCGAGCTGGCCGCCGACGTCGACATGGCGCTGGAGTGTCGGCCACAACGAAGCTCCGAATGTCACTTTGTTGGTAGGAGGCGGTGACAGCCAGGGCTGGCCTGTTCACGCCATGCTTTCCCCCAGGTGTTGGCCCGAGTCCCGAGTCTATGCGGATCCTTAGCACCGCCCAGACACGCGACGGGGTTTATCTCGGCCGAGAGAAAGATTGACGAAGCGAGCCAATCGCGGAAGTGCCCGATCTGCTTGCAGAAGCACATCCAAGATAATCAGAGTCGAGATCGCAAGATCACGCAGCTGGGCCTGCGAGCCGAGCCAATCAGGCATGGAGGATTGATCGTGGGCCGAGGCCAGGAGCTCTGCGGGCTCGAGGCGTCGCCCACCCTCGCGCCGGCCAATCACAGGAGCTGCTGTCAAAGGTGCTCGCTCTCACTGCAGCTCCGAGGTGCAAGTCAGTCATTCGAGGACGTGCCACTGTCACTGCCGCTGTCGCTGTCGCTGTCGCTGTCGCTGTCCGGCAGGGACAGGCTTGTCAGTCCTGTGGAGTATCGCAGGATCAAGGCAGCGGACAGGAGGGTGGCAGTGAGACGCCACCAGATCTTCCGATGGCGGGGTAACGGCCGACGAGGCGATGGCTAGAGGGAGGCGTGCCATCTGATACAGCATGTTGCGACTCGAGTCATCTAAGGCTGGCGAGCGCTGGCGGCCGCTGGCAAGGAGGCACGGCCAATTCCTCCTTTCGCTGGCTGGCAGCAGCGCAGCGTGCGGGGACATTTTTTTGCAGGATTTTCGAGGCTCGAGCAGACAGCAGCAAAGGCTAAGCGGGCGGGGTCGGCTAGATTTGAATGCCCAATATCCGCGCTCTTCGCCCTCTCGCGCCGCCCTTTCACACCCACCCACGCACGCACACTGGCGCACTGCAGCGGTGAGCGGGTCAAGTGGCGCGGCAGCCATTCTTCTCGCGCTCGCTCCTGCAGTCTGGGCTGGCTGGGACGAGTCACCGACTCTCAGCAGCTGTGTGGCATTGCAGCCCCCCAGCCGGTATAACCTCGGCCCTCTCCCGCCACCTTGCCCTCCTTTCCTCCTCACCACCGCAAGTCTACATCCACCCCGCCTTTTCTATACGGGGTCCCTCGCCACTCACTCCAACACTTGCAACCAAAAGCGCCGCTTCTCTCGCAAACGAGCGCACCGCAGTTCACTCTTCTGGCCTCGCCACCTACTCGCCACATCCTGAAACAAAAGCGTCGACTCGATCAGCATGACGAGCTTCGCCGTGCAGTTCGCACGCCAACAAAGGCACGCCTTCCAGGCCGCCTCCAAACTCTCCGCGGCCTCGTCCACCTCCAATGTGATTGCCGCCGCTGCCGCCGCCGCGTCCACTTCGTACGCCTCGACACCTAGCGCAGCGAGAGCCTTCTCCACCGCAAGGAACAACCTGCCTCGTTCGGCACACTTTGCACGATCGCAACGCACAAATCTCGCCCTCACAAGACACATCTCCACCAACCAGCCCAAGGAGCAGGCCGCCGCCGCCGCAGCCCAGACCTCGGCCAGCGTCCGCCCCGAACCCTCGCCTGCTTTCCAGCAGTCGCCTCAGAACATCGCTCCGCTCTCGTCGCGCTACGATGCCAACGCCCTCGACGAGTCGTTCGTCGGCATGTCCGGAGGCGCCATCTTCCACGAGATGATGCTCAGGCACGACGTCAAGCACGTTTTTGGCTACCCCGGAGGTGCCATCCTCCCCGTCTTCGACGCCATCTACAACTCCAAGCACTTTGACTTTGTCCTCCCGCGTCGCGAGGACGGCGCTGGCCACATGGCCGAGGGCTACGCGCGTGTCACGGGCAAGCCCGGTGTCATCCTGGTCACCTCGGGCCCCGGCGCAACCAACGTCATCACCCCCATGCAGGACGCCATGAGCGACGGCACGCCCCTCGTCGTCTTCTGCGGTCAGGTCGCCACCTCCGCCATCGGCTCCGACGCCTTCCAGGAGGCTGACGTTGTCGGCATCTCCAGGTCCTGCACAAAGTGGAACGTCATGGTCAAGGACATCGCAGAGCTCCCTCGCCGCATCAACGAGGCCTTCAAGATTGCCACCTCCGGCCGCCCCGGCCCCGTCCTCGTCGACCTGCCCAAGGACGTCACCGCAGGCATCCTCCGCCAGGCCATCCCCTACAGCCAGACCCAGCCCAACATGATCACCAGCCTGCCTAGCCGACAGGTCGCCCGCAACCGCCGCGGCGCCACCTTCCAGCAGCAGAACTCCAACGTCCGCTCTTCCGAGCAGGACGTCCTCACCTCCGAGCTCAAGGAGGCGGCGCGTCTCATCGGCATCGCCAAGCGTCCCATCATCTACGCCGGCCAGGGCATCCTCTCGTCGCCCGAGGGCCCCAAGCTGCTCGCCAAGCTCGCCAAGGAGCACAACATCCCCGTTACCACCACCCTCCAGGGCCTGGGTGCGTTCGACGAGCTCGACCCGCTCAGTCTGCACATGCTTGGCATGCACGGCTCGGCGTACGCCAACCTCGCCATGCAGGACGCCGATCTCATCATCGCCCTCGGCGCACGATTCGACGACCGTGTCACCGGCCGCATCGACAAGTTCGCCCCGCACGCCCGCGCCGCCGCGCTCGAGGGCCGCGGCGGCATCATCCACTTTGAGGTGATGCCCAAGAACATCAACAAGGTGGTGCAGGCGACGTGCGCCGTCGAGGGCGACGTCGTGGCCAACCTGGGCAAGCTCATGCCCTTCCTCGAGTCGCAGGGCCCGGACAGGAGCGAGTGGCACCAGCTCATCAAGACGTGGAAGGACGCCTACCCGTTCACCTACGAGCCGTCCAAGCAGGGCGAGCTGATGAAGCCGCAGGAGGTGATTGAGGCGCTCGATGCCGCTGTGGCTGACCAGAAGGAGAACGTCATCATCTCCACCGGTGTCGGTCAGCACCAGATGTGGGCGGCGCAGCACTACCGTTGGCGCCACCCGCGCACCTGGGTCTCGTCCGGCGGTCTGGGCACCATGGGTTTCGGTCTGCCGTCGTGCATTGGCGCCAAGGTGGCTGCGCCCGAGAAGATCGTGGTGGACATTGACGGCGACGCCTCGTTCTCCATGACCGCCATGGAGCTCGCCACGGCGGCGCAGTACGACATTGGCGTCAAGGTGCTCGTGCTCAACAACGAGTTCCAGGGCATGGTGGTGCAGTGGCAGGACCTGTTCTACGAGAAGAGGTACTCGCACACCGAGATGCACAACCCAGACTTTGTCAAGCTCGCCGAGTCGATGGGCGTCAAGGCGATCCGCTGCGACAACATCGCCGACCTACCCGCCAAGATGAAGGAGTTCATCGAGTACGACAACAACAAGCCCATCCTCTTCGAGGCGAGGATCACAAAGAACGAGCACGTCTATCCCTTCTGCCCGGCCTCGGCGGGTCTGCACGAGCTCATCGTCCACCCGAGCCTCAAGCCTATCCCCAAGAAGAACTGATTTGTCTTGTATTTCTTCTCTTTGCAACTGTTCGTTTCCGCCTCCCTTATTGCAGTCCGAAGATGTATGTGTGTGTGTGTGTG